AAGAATTTATAAATGAAGACATTAGCAATTGAGGCAGTGAATTCTGATATCAAAGAACCACCATCATTTACCCTACCATTCCCGGTCAAGGCAGCCAATGACGTTATAGGTTCAAACCATCATTACTGAGAGTGGTATTCAATTATCAAAACCACTTCAAAGAGAAATGAGACAGAGAAAAATCAAATATCTACTAAAGGGAAGGAACATGTGGAACAGTTTAAAGAAGCAACAGAGAAAAATCAACAATTAGTCTCAGACAGCCCACAGTTTAAGATAACAGTTTCTGGCACTTCATTCACATCTCTAATTCCTTCTCTGCAAAGACTACAAAATACCAAACTTGAAAGATAGTTTACTAAGTTCTTGGAAGTCCTCAAAAAGCTACATGTCAACATCCCATCATTGATACGATCTTTCAAATCCCAAACTACTCCAAGTTTTCGAAGGAGATGTTGACCAAAAAGAGAAAACTGCCTGAGCATGAAATGATAACACTTTCTGAAGAATACAGCGTGATCATCCAGTACAGATCCCGGATAAACTAAAAGATCTAGGAAGTTTTACTTTACATTGCTTCATAGGAAATTTACATAATATAAATTGTTTAATTGATTCAGAAGTAAATATTAATTTAATTTCCTTGCCTTTTTATAGGAAACTGAGATTAGGAGATCCTAAGATGGTCTCTATTATCTTTCAGCTGGCGAACAGTTCACAGAAGTACCCTATGAAATAGTCGAAAACATGCTTATCAAGGTGTGAGAGTTTGTTTTTCCAGCTGGCTTCATCATTTTGGACATAGAAGAGGAATATCAAATGTCAATAATCCTGACGTCATTATTGTCTATAAATCAAGCCTTGCCGGATTTTTATATTAATGAAAGTCCTGAGGATAGAGAATAAGCAGCAGACTTTACCATGGAGAATCCAATCAAGCAAATCTCCTACTTTGAGGATTGCCAAGAAGTGGATCACTGGGAAAACTACAAAGATAGACCAAATATAGGAGGAATTATTAGTAGGGACAACAATGGAAACATAATTGTTTAGAGAGTCAAGGATGAACCAAACAAGTGCAACCAGTG